CGTGAGTAACAGGTCTAATGAGTTTGCGTAAACGAATGGCGCAAATACCATTGCGATGGATAGTAACTGGACAAACATTGCATAGAGCAACGAAGATAAGGAGTTCCATGAATACGTCCTGAAAGTACATCTTTCATTTAATTTCATTCAGTTAGCCCATTTTGGGCCGCTGTGTTCACAACTGCCTTCAATCTCATAATTGTGGTTCCTGATGACATTCAAGACGGAATAGGGCAATGGCTTCCCGGTTCATTTTGCACCGGGATTTTGAGGTTACCCCGTCACTCAGAATTGGATTTGTTTTTATAGTTACATTTTCTAGACTTTGACTAAAGAGGCAGGACCTACAAGGCAACACGTGGTTTGAATTCAGATTTTCATTCTCCCAGACTGGTTGCCACCCAAGGAAAGTATATCCTACTATTTTACCCATAGCTGAGGGAAAACAGATGGATCCATACCTTTCCCAAGGGTACTAGTACGTAAGTGAATGCAATGAACACGACTGTAAATCGAACTCGACTCTCTGATTCCCCAATCCGAGCCGTTAAGTATTACACCATCCTGAACATACACAGCACATTTTTAATCGGTTTCACCTCATGCAAGGCAATAAAGTCACTAAGCAAGCAAGAAGTGCGAGAAAAGAAGCTGTTAGCATAGAATTTACGGGTACATTTAGCCAGAATAATTGTAAATTAATGGAATCTCGAAGACATTCCAGTACTGCTTTTAAATTCAAAAAGTCTAGGTACCATAGTGGAGAGCTCATCTGAACAATTACCATAAACATATTTATAAAAAAAAGACAAAAAGAGAAGAAACATTATGGCGGTGGGAAAGTAACTGAAGCTGAGGTACCAGATCAGGATCGATAATATTGCAGAGTCTTCTTTAGATTTTATCAAGAACCTCAATGCAAATATGCAGGACCACTGGACCATATGTGGCAGCACTATTCTAAGCATGGACGAATTGGAGACTTATAGATGATGTAAGATAGATTCTGGAGAAAAAATGTTCTCACATGACACAGTGAACCAAAATTCTTAGCAGCTGACCTATCAATGGATTCAATATAGTCTTTCTACTTCATGTCAGCTGAGAAGGTTAGCCCACGAAGGCGCAATGGGTCACTTTCCTGGAGGTTAGCATCAGCCATGCTGGTGGAAGTCAATGTGGGGTCTGTCAGATGATTAAGAAAAATAAGGACGGTGGGGACTGCAAAAGAAGAAAGCTATAGAGAACTATGATTTCCTACTAGGTGGAGCGACATTGAACATAGAGACAGTGTGTGTGTGTGTGTGTGAGAGAGAGAGAGAGAGAGAGAGAGAGAAAGGGAGAGAGAGAGAGAGTCCAGACAGGCGTCAATATGGGATAAAAACGACGTCATTCCGGCTAAAAGAATTCAATTAACATTTTATATAAAAAAAAAATACCTCCATTTTAAATAACACTATCAATGGTTCACACCTGGCATCGTGATGAAAACAAGAAGACGGTCGAATAAAATATCATTATGATGATAATTTTCCCGTCTGAAAGTAAGTAAATACCTATATAATTTAATTTCGTAATTCGGAATCCGTTCTTTTTCTGACCTCACACGTATCGCGCTTTGGTTAATTAAAATATTTGAAACAGAAATAGAATTTCAAGAGAGTTCCCAATTACGTTTCAGCAGACATTCTAATATATGATGAATAAATGCATGTTTGTTTTTCTTGATCTCTTTTCTTTTTTTTGCAGTCAAGGTTACTAAGGATCGTTTTCTTTTTCACTTACAGTTATTTTGTTATCAGGAAGTGTTATAAAGTTCATATAACGCTCATAGTTTTGATTAATAATACTGTAAGGAAAGGTTGATTGAAGAACAGGTTTAATCACATGAGAGACATGGATTAATAATACAGTAAGAGTGAATACGGTAGTCCAGAGCGGCAAAGCGTACGAAATGAAACGGTACGCCTTATGACCCACATTCCGATGAACAGACATTCGACTCGGAGCCGACGGACGAGTCCATATTCAGCAGTGTAGAGAAGGTCGTCATTCTACACAGATTTCTAAAATTTCTAAAGAAATTCTATATTTTGATGTTTGCCCGTACGAAAATCAAAAAAAGGTTTTTATCAATTGGCTTTCAACATGGCCATTAAGGCAAAACAGTTATTTTACTTGTTGGACTTGTATTAGGGCTCAAGATAAAACAGTGTTTCTGTTATCGAAGTGACCCTTTTATTTAATCTTCGGGGGCGCGGGGAATTGTTCTCGTTCCGCTGACCATGCCTCGTCTAGTCTTTATTTACTACTGATCAATTATTGCTCCCTCAGGCTCTACTGAGTTCAAAGACGTACTTCACGATCCGGAGATTTAACTGGCAATTACTTAAAACAACGTTTGAAATAATAAAAAAATGTAGGAATGAATAATGAAATCCATGAATTCTTTAGAAACTTTAGAATATATATATATATATATATATATATATATATATATAAAGTACAGTGTATGTTTATGTAACTACAGAAGAACTCAAAATTTAAGTGTTGAATTAATGTTTAAACTTACCTTTTAAAAGTTTAACGATAATCCTTCTGCTGTCACTTAATTTAAAGACGATTTGATGTACGTAGATCCTTATTTTCTGTACAAACAATTATTTTTATTTCATGGGTGACAGAACAGGGGACAGTTTATAAGATAAAATTAATATAGTGTAATGATGGGAAAATAGAAATTAGAATTAGTTATACATTCAACATTTGAAGAGTTAGTGAAATATAATATCTAATCAAGTAAAACATATATTATGGAATCTGTATGAATAAAAGCGAAATTGGAGCTCAATTATCCAACGAATTCTGGTGTTAAAAAACCCCATCTCTGCTGTATAGTAATTTAAACGCTAAAAGCACAATATTTCTAGGTGATATCAATCTTTTGGTTTAACTAAATTGCATATTGTGTTTTAAAAATTATATTTCATTAATTAACTGTCCTTCATTAGTGTTCTTTTATTCAAGGATTTTTTTGATTTTCATATAAAAAATAGTTATCTTTAATAATAATGTCTTATTTATTGCAGTAAAATGTTTGAAATTTGCATTTTGTTTGGTCTTCAACAAGTTGGCATCTATTTGTAAAACTTTCCATAACTATAGCGATTTTCAAAGCATAGCTTAGATGTGGCACATGGCCGAAAATATAGGGCACCCAGTGAGAATCGAACTCACTACTCAGCTATTATTGTTCTAGCGAGACAAGCTTGTTAACCATTACACCGCTTCAGAGTGCCCAACTTTCCATAACCATAACAAGCCAATTTATGAATGAAATGTTCATTTAAAATTTTTCTTTCAAAGATTTCAAGTAGTAAATATATCTTACTTTGCGAAGTCTGCTAGTACATACATACATACTTATATATATATATATATATATATATATATATATATATATATATATATATATATATATATATAGTTTTAAAAACAAGGAATGTATTGATTTTAATTTTAAAAGTCTCTAAGGCCCTTTCAACCAACATCTCATCAGGAGACAATCCTTGGATAATTAATCAACGAAAAGAATATTAACGACAATGAAGAGCAAAAAAGGGGGGAAACACACTAAAATAACAAACAAGTATATATACTTGTAACGAGGAGAGGGGAAATAACGTGTAAATAAATTAGCGAGGGACAGTTAAAATAAAATATCCTCCAACAGATTAAGAGACTTTAAAATCAATACATTCCTTGTTTTTAAAACTATATATAAATTTTGTACCTCTACATTTGTTTTATATATATATATATATATATATATATATATATATATATATATATATATATATATATATAGAGAGAGAGAGAGAGAGAGAGAGAGAGAGAGAGAGAAGAAGAAGAAAGAGAAAAGTCTGCAAAAAATGTATACACACTTCCGGAAACGAAAACTTGTCCTTCGTAAATTTATCAAATTTCGATAACACTGTTTACTGTAGTACGAAATTTTCTCGAGAGATGGCATTACATTGGCATTCCGTTGACAAGAAATTGGAATTGCATGTCAACCAATCCAACTGGACATTTTGGCGAACGTTTGACCAGCACTAGTTCGCCGTATTCCTAAATATCTCGAAAGTAAAGGCCACCATTTTGAACATCTCATGTGATTGTGCAGTTTGCAGGTAATTTGTATTAATCTGATGTCTGAATAAATTTATCTATCCAAGGTTTTCCTTTCCTGGTGTATCTACGTGCGTATGCATTATTTTGTCAGACTCTGTAGATATAAAATCCATGTGTAAATATATTAAAATATACATACATAGTCTAATCAATTTGAATGTGTTATTTATTCAAATATCTAATGCAGTTAACCAATCAGAGTGCTTAATGCAATTAACGTCGGTCATCGCCGAATCAGTATTTCAATTTTCATTGGATACTTGATAGTTTGGCACGTGCTTTCTGTCACGTTTAACGCGTAACCGAAGGCTGAAGTACTGCGTCTTAGGAGAAAATCGAATGATTTATCGTCTCCTTTTTCATTATGGTTTTCTCCGCCTAAAATGTCAAAAGAAAACAGAACATTATACACCATAATTCCAAGGAAGTCTGATTAATTATAGAAAATGATTTACGGTGATTTCTTATTTTGATGCTCTATGCTCAAGGATCTTTGGATATAGTTATACTATTTTTTTCAAAATAGCCGTCTGAACTTTTTGTTCAATTAAAAATCTTTCAAATATGATCGTATTTTTTTTTTAAATGCGCCTTAAACACTAATGCGTCTTATATTCGGAAATTCGCTTATATTCCCAGCGGCGTTTCCTTTATTCGTGCTGGTTTTAATTCTAAACTACGATAAGACAAAACTTAGCGCAGTTTCATTCCAATTTTGTTATGAAATCAAAAAAAGAAGACTTAAAACAAACTTTGAAATATTACAAACATAGCTCACAAGCTAACGTAGGCTTACGGATACGTCACGTTGAAACACTGATTCTCGTACGATAACCTAAGTTAAGCAACGTCGAGCCTGGTCAGTACCTAGAGAGGTGACTGTCTGGGAATACCAGGTGCTGTAAGCTTGGATGTGCGGGTGGTGTAATGGGTAATGGCTTGGAATTGTAAATCAGTGAGTCGAGTTCCTATTCCCATTTAGTTCGTTATATTCACCTACGCGCATTTGTCATTGGGAAAGGTATGAATACACCTATTAATTCTCCAGCGATAGGTTAATTAGTAAGACCTTTATCACTAAATTATTATTATTATCTCAAAAAAGAAAATTGTTACAATCTAAAAATATTTTTTGGCTTTAAATATACTGCAAAAGGTTGATTAACCGTAAAAATGAATGAATCAATCAAATCACAACCTAACATCACACTCTTCAATGTTAAAAGTTTTCTGTTATGACACCCAGCAAGTATCAGGCAAGTAACAAACAAAATATCTTCAACTTTAGACTTCTGTACTAAGGAACAAAATACCGCGAGGATCCTTCCCTAAATACTAAAATCTTGAAATTTTCAAATCAAAGGTCAATAGTTATATATCCCCATTTCTTAACACACCCTCTTTCATTCATATCCGCCGCCCTGTCGGTTTGGGCTTCAGAATATGTTAACAGCACCTCTGCAGAGTTATAAGACTCTCCCAATGAGGTCACCTATTCGCCGTGGCAACCGGTAATGTCTGAGGACGGGATACTGGTGACTGAGGCATTCAGGAGTCAGGGTTAGTTACTTCTGATTCCCAACAATCCACTTTAGCCTTGACCAGCGGTCAGAGAGGCTCGATCTGATTAATCCGAGTAGACTGGTTTGTGTTGCCCTAACCACTCAAGGCGACTGGGTTTCCCCTTGATACGTCCCAATGTCGGGCTCCGAAGTGAGTTGGACACAAAAATTAAGAATTATCAAAATAAAAAGTCCAAGAGATGTCTTTCAGACTCTGGAAAAAGAAATTAATATGGGATTTCCAAGTTTTTTTTTGTGATCACGTCCCTAGAAGATACTCAGATGGCAAAACTTTCTCCTTTCTTGATTGAAAAGGTACTATCCAATAGGCTTAATCCTAAAATAGAAAGTTGAGAGATGGCAATTTGCTTGTTGAGGTGGAAAATAGGAAACACGGAGAAAATCTAATAAAGATGAAGACCTTTCATAATATCAAAATCAAAACTTTCCATCATTTAAGACTGAATACTTCTAAGCGAGTCATTAGAAATAACGAAATTGTCTCTGGCAACACCTGAGGAAATTACATCTGCCTTAGTAAAAGCCAATGGGTTTGCGATTGCCATAAAATTTCAATTAAAAGAAAAGGGAAAACAATTATAACTGACATATATATCCTTACTTTTAGCACTCCTGAAACCCCCCTCTAAATTCCGAGATGAAATCCAGTCTCAAATGAATGACAAACGCAGGAATGAAATATAGCAAATAAATGTATTGACGCAATAATACAATTGGTAATACGGTTAGTAGATCCAGAAATGCGGTTAGTAGCAATAATATATATATATATAGTCTGTTATATTCAGTATCGAAGAAGGACTTCCTTCTGAGTCTACGTGCTCGCAACTGTGACTCCTACAAAGCGGTTGCCTCACACTCTTACTCTCTCACTGTTCACTGTATCAGTGTATCTCTCTATCAGAGTATCTTACTCTCGGGTATTCACCGGCAGCAGTACAAGTACACACTGGTCGAGTCCACTTGTATGAAAAAGGGGTGGACACCATAACAGAAACTATATATCCCTCCTAAGATGATATGGTGTCAAAAATTAGAATATCATAGGTATAGCTGCAGGAATCGCTCAACATGTGAAAAATATGTCCAAAGGGATTCAGACCATACTAAAGCGGAATACGACGATGAAAAAAGATGGGGCTAACTGCCAGGAAAGCCATTCAGCATACTGAAGAATTTGTGATTTCTGGAAAAATTAAAGAGAGAATGTTCAAGTAAAATATAAAAGAAACATCTGATTTACAGAAGCAAGGCAAGTAGTAGATGGTTGAATGAAAGGCCCTTCCTATGCGAAAATAACGGAAAATAAAATTACACATAATGTCGGTTAGCCTGAGAAAATACAGGACCCTCATTGAGAGCCTTGTACTCTGGGGAACAAATGATTGGCCCAAATTTCAAATTTACCTAAAAAGTCCATATTCCAAGGAAATGGTGCAGGATGAACCTCAAAAGAAGGACGATGAAAAAACTAAAATAATAAATAAATAAACAAATAGCAAAACGACAGCTCAAACACAAACCACTCCTACTAAAAACACCAAATCTCCTACGAAACAAAGGTCAGAGCGATCTCCTACATGTCCACCAAAAGTGTATCTTCCAAAAGAAGAGAATCAGCCAAACAAAAGCCGAAAATCCTAAACGACCAAATTCCTACGGAAAACCGATTTAACGAACTAGAAAAAAAATGGAGGTAGAAAGCCAGAACCCTGAATCGTCTAAAACGTCCAAAATAAAAAAAAAACCTTGGAAAAAAGAAATGTAAACCAAAAAACCACTAAAAGCCAAAAATGTTTAAACAGCCATGCATAAGATAATTCAATGGAACTGCCTTGGAATTAAGGCAAATATAAATGAACTGCTTCTGTTAATAACAGACCCGTCACCGGCATTTGTTTACCTTCAGGAAACATTCCTTAAGAAAGGTGGCAAACTGAATATAAAAGAATACCAGCAATACAACCAGACATGTGACATTGGGCTTTGTGCATCTCGTGGTACATCTATCTTAGTTAGGAATGAGTTACCCCAAAGTAAACTAAATTTGACAACTACTTTACAGGCAACTGCTGTTAAAGTGACCTTACATAGGCAAATAAACATTTGCTCGGTATATATACCATCAAATGAAGGAGTAAATGAAGTCGAAATTGATGAAATTATAAGGCAACTCTCTGCACATTTTATAATACTAGGGATCTTTAAATGTCACAGCCGTATACGGGGCTATAATGATAAAAGCCAAAAGGTAAGACCATTAGAAACAATTATAAGTAACAATGATTTATATTATTTATAACGATCAAACTACGATCTACATAAACCCATTTATTGCCAGCTCCTTAGCAATAGATTTACCCATATGTGATCCATCAATTTATATGGATTCTGGCGGACACATGCAGTAGTAATCCCTTGCCAGTTGTTCTGTAAAATTCAGAACATAATGATAAAAATCCTTTCCGTTGGAAATTAGGTGGAGTGATTAGGGACGAATTTAAAAACCAATGTTTTGATAAAATTAACTGAAAATAAATGCATCAAGGACTGATTTAAAGCAAATCCTTATATCTATAGCAAAGGAATGCATTCCAAAATGTTCAGTACAAAAAAACAAAAACAAAAAACAAACAAACAAAAAAAAAAACAAAACAAAAAAAACATAAGAGACCTTTGTCTGATTGATGAGTGTAAGGAAGCTATCAAACTCAGGAGAGCTTTGAGAGTTTTCAACAAACAACCTTTAACCTCCTGATTTTTTACAATTTAAGCAACTTCGAACAAAAGCACAACAAAATTATATTTTAAATCAAATAACACTGAGAGCTCTAACCTACCATTCACAAGAGGAAGTAAATGGATCTTTAAAGTTGTAATGATTTGTTGGGTAACTATTTTATGAATTGATAATAGATATCATCTCGTCCCACAGATGCATTATGGTCTTTTTTTAAAAATTCATTTACTTCCTGTTTGCAGATCCGGTTTCATTGATATACTTTTGCAAAGACGGTTGCTGTCGAATTTTTAGATTCATTGATGGATTCTTTTCAGATACACGGTTTATAGAGAAATTGATTTTGTAATTCCCATTATAATTTTTAGTAGAGTCCTTCTGTTTTGAGAAATGATATTATATCATCCACTTTTAGTTACGCGATCATGGTCATCCACATCTTCCTATCATTGGTGGCTCTTAATAAATTTTGTTTTTTTGTTATTTCTCCAAAACCCTGTTCGGCCATCCATTTACTCAAGATCATCAATTATGTTATCCGATGCTTTCCCTCAATCTGTCCTGTGAGTATCAGATTTTCCAAGCCCTCCTTCCTCATTACGTGCCCCAGAAATTTCAACTAATTTTCCTGATGTTAAGTATAAGTTTCCTTTTGGTTTGTATTTTCTCTAAAACCTCGTCGTTGTTCGGTGAATGGTATCCTCAGCATCTTTTTCTACAAGCATCTTTCTGTTGCTTCACGTTTCTTCTTCATCTTTGAGGACATTGTTTAGCATTCGTTGCATTCATTGTGAAAGCGGTTGTATACGGATGAACAAATATAATGCCGTACATAAAATTCTCGAACTGGCGAAACTATTTGAGAACATGACTCGAGTTTTTAGGTTTAATATTTTAGTCGGTGACGCAGAAAGAAAACTACAGGAACTGATAGAAAAGTTGAGAAAGGAAAGTAGAATAAACAGACAAAATGTTTTCTTATCAGCGATAGATACACCCCAACATGATGCAAGTATTAGGGATGTCAACATCAAGCGAGTACATAAATTTAACTATGAAAAAGAGGATGGAAATTGTGTGAAAAGTATATAAATATTTTATTAGGTACCTCTACGAGATCGCTAAAAAAAAGAGCATAGCATGATGAAAAAGACGCCAAACTTGACGAAAACAAAATTTTATCCTCTAAATGTTGATATTATTATTAAGAGGAAGGATCAAAGTATTTTGTGGGTATTTTTTTACATTTTTAATCGTTCCTAGCACGTCCCAAATTTTCGTTAAAAAACTTGTTTTTTTTTATTCAGCAAAATTGACAGATTTCAACCATTTTTTCCATTTTATAAAAAAATGAAAATCTCACTCTGAAATTCTTTCAAATATCAATTATCATGTTTACAAAACTTATTTTAAGAAAATCAGAAATTATAATGTTTATTTAAAACATTGTGAACCAAGCTTAACTTAGCTTCTGAGCCGAAAAGATGTAATCGACACGATCGAATTTCTAGCGTTTTCATAAAATTAGTAATTATAATAAATTTTAAAAAAATATTCTGCTATGACTTTAATAAAAAATAAAC